CGGGGGGGTCCAGCGCTGCCCCAGCTGACGCAGGGCCGGGTGGAGGAGCTGGCAGGCTCGTTGGCAATGCTTTTTTTTTTTTCTTCTTCTTTTTATTTTTCCAGTTCCATAAAACATTTCCCTTCGTCTCAGCTCCAGGGACGGGGGCGGGGAGGGGGGGGTTGGCTGGGAAGCCACGTGGCTGCAGAGCTGGCGTCCACGGGACACTTGTGAGGATGGGGGGAGGAGGGGGGGGGGGGGGAATGCATTTCCTTGGTGTGTCCCTACTGCCCATCCCTTGCGGGTGCCATGCCTCAGTTTCCCCATCCTCATCCTTAGGGGCAGGGATGTGGCTGAGCTGTTTGCTCCCTCACCCCTCGGGGGTGGCACCTGGGGGTACCTGGGGGTACGGGGACACCTGGGGCTGCTCCGCTTGGCGCACGTCCGTGCAGTGCTGGCACCTGAGCCCGGGGCTGCAAAGAGAGCTGCTTTTCTTCCTGCTGTTTTCCAAAGCAACTGGCAAGTTTGCTGCTGCCGTGGCCTCCCGTGACCCAGGGAAGCTCCCGGCCCCACAGCACCTGCGCCGGCATCGCCGCCCGCCCCAGCACGTAGGCGCGAGCACCGGCATCGCTCGGGGGCTGCTGCAGCCCTGGGGGGGGTGTATGGGCTTCAAAGGAGGCAGTGGGGCATTTGGGGTTAAGGAATGGGGTGCTGGGGTGCCACGGGGTTAGCACGTGTTGGGGTTAGCATATAGCAGGTTTGGGGATGCTGGTATCCCCAGTGTCTGGTGTCTGCGCGCTGCTGCTGAGTTGAGGTGGTTGATGGAGCGTTTTGTGCCTTTCGTTGTCCGTATGTCCATCCTGGCTGAATCCATCCTGCCCTTGGGATGCTGGGCTGCATCCCGACCCCGCGGTCTGCGCACTCCCACCTTTGTACCGTGCCTATGTGGTGCCACCAGAGCAGGGATGGGGGCAGTGGGCTCTGCACGGGCACAGGGCGCTGCTGGGAGCTGGCCCTGCGTCCTCCTGCAGCCCCGGCGTGGGCTGTGAGCATTTTGCAAGCATGGGCCGGGTCGTCCCCACCCCAAAGCAGGGAGAGACGGGGACAGAGCGGCTGTCACAGCGTGTTCTGCCCCCGGGCACCTCCGGCTGCGGTGGCACGGCGCGTTCCATCCCCACCGAGCTCTGTGTCCCAGCCCCTGCTTGGAGTGGCAGTGAGGGGCTCCCTTTGTCCTCAGGCTCAGGGAGGCGCTGCTCGTGTCCACCGCTGTCCCGTGGCCCTGCTTGCACCACACACCCATCCTGCATCCTCTTTGGGGCTGATTTCGGGGTGCACTCCATGGGGAGACCCCCCCCTGCCTGCGCCATCTCAGAGCATCCAGCTCTTCCCCACCCGCTGGCCCTGCTTGGTGAACGCGTGCAGCCTTTGTCTCTCCTCTGGTTTGGTTCTGAAGACGCTTTGGGTGTTGGTTTGTGCAGCACACAGCATCCAGTGTGCCTCAGTTTCCCTCCCGGCCGCTCACCTGCACCAGGACCTGCAGAGCCGGCCGGGAAGCTCGGCTGCACCGTGCCGGAGAGCAGCAAAAATTATGAATAAGCTCTCATTAATAAATACTTGATGATGAATCCAAATAGATTTCCTCCTCTGGAGCAATTATTGTAAAATGGGCTCTAATACGTTGCAGGGACGGCCCCGAGAAAGGTTGGGTGCATTTCAGGGACTAAGTGCCTTCCTTCAATGCACTCTAATGAGCACTTTCAAATCATTTGCATCTGTCTCAGCAACAGGTCTCATTACCAGGTTAACTTATTACCGAGCGCCGTTGCTGTGAACAGTTAATAAGCGGCTACCGGAGGCCTCGCCGCGCATTCGTGGGGGAACCAACAGCAGGGCGAGCGCAGGGAGCATCTCCCCATCTGCACCGTGGGTTTGCAGGCAGCCACGACTGGGATTTTGGGGAACAGGGGAGCGTGGTGCATCCCCTGCTCGCAGCGGGGTTCCTGCAGGGCACGGCGCACAGCGCAGCGTGCCAGCCCCTGCCTGGGCTCGTCCGGCCGTGGGGATGGGGAGCTGGCAGCCGCAGAGCCGGCAGCGTTGTTGAGGTGTGTGGTTGGCTGGCGGAGAGGCTGAGCATCCTTTAATAACACCAACCCTGTGTGGTCTGCGCGGGGCCGAGGTGCTGCCTGCGCGTCCCACACCGCGATGGGCGACCCGCCGTCACCATCACTCCTGTCCCCAACTCCTCCTCCTCCTCCCCCCCATGCAAACTGCTCGGGAATTTCCTGAGGAAATGTGGGGTTTTGGTGCCTTTTTTTTTTTTTTTTTCATCGGAAAATTCAGAGCTCACAGAGCTCAACCTGTTTGGACGAGGTGCTCCTGCAAGGGATCCTCAGATCGCCGTGCTGTGATGCCGCCGTGCCATGGAACCTGTGCCACAGTGCCCGAGCCACAGTGCCCATGCCGTGATACCCATGCTGTAGTGCTGGTGCTGCAGCACACGTGCCGTGGTGCCCGTGCCATCAGTGCCCGTGCCGTGGTGCATCCTGTGCCGTGGTGCCGTGCTGCTCGTGCCATAGTGCTTGTGCTCTGGTGCCCATTCTGCAGTTCCTGTGATCCCCGGGCTGTGATGCCCAGTGCTTGGCGTGTGGCATGGAATTGCCCACCCTTCCCATGTGCAGGAAGGGCCGCCCCCCCCCCAGTGACACATCCCTGGGTGGCACAGTTCTCCAGGGCGGAAGGCACCTCGCTGTGCTGCTAATCCCAACACGGCGTGCCCAGCACCACACAGGGCATCCATCCATCCATCCATCCATCCATCCCACATGGGCACTGGGATGGAGCCAAGGTTTGCCTTGCCTCGGTTTCCCCTTCCTGCAAACACTCCCCTGCCTGGAAGGGCAGTGTGGGGGGGCCTGGTGCCGGCAGCACCCCGGTGCCAGCAGCACCCCGACGCGGGCGGCTCCTCCTCGGGTTGCGGGGCTTTACAAGCCCGGGCTGGAAGGGCCCCAAGAACAGACTCTGCTGCCAGATTCCCGGCCGGAAATGCCCTGAGAACAGCCTTGTCTGTGGTATTGCAGCATGTCTCTGCTTCCCAGCCCAGCAAATGAAAAACAACAGGGGAAAAAGTTAACCAGCCCCGTGCCGGCGCTGCGTCGTGCCGCTGTGAGGCGGCGGGCTTCAGGGTGACCCCGGGGGTCCCCAACGTCAAGCAGCGGGGACCTGGGAACCACAACCACGGTGTCCCCAAACTGTCCCGGGTGCCACGGGGACGCAGCTCCCTGCTGGGATGGCAGTGAGCCTTGGCTGTCCCCAGGCGCGGCGTCCCCCCGGCTGTCCCTGTGCCCCCGCCTGGCCCCGCTAAAGCAGCTTAGCTGGATGCAGCATCCCCGTGTGGGATAAGCTGGGCAGGAGGGAAAGTTGGCGCGGGGCTGATCGGCTTTGGGTCCGGCTCTTGGCTCGCCCTAATCCCGCCGTGGTGCCTGTGGGGTGATGGCTGGCCATCGTCACCCTGCAGTGGGACCATCCGGAGGGCACCGAGCGTCCCCTGTCCCCGTTCACAGTGCTCCCTCCCTGCTGTCCCTGCAGTGGGACAACGCCAGTGCCCTCCGGCTGCCCCTGCCCGGGGTGTTGGCAGGGCTGGAGTATGGCAGCAATTTGTAGGGCTTGCCTGGATAACCGGCCACCAAGGAAGATCGGCCGCCCACCGCCCCGGCCAAGTATTGTTTTTGGAACTTGCTGCTTCTTTTTTCGGCTCCTGTCTTACTTTTCTTTGACCTTCTTCCCTGATTTAAGACACATGCCCAGCCCTTGCCCAGCTGCAGTGAATTAGCGGCTGCTGCTGGGGAGGGAACCAGACCCTGCGGCCACGCGGGGCTGCGGACGTCCCAGGAACAGCCGGCAGGGGCGAGTCCATGGGCAGGATGAGTCCTATGGGCAGGATGGGGTCCTGTGGGGAGAGTGGGATCCTAGGGACTGGATGAGTCCTGTGGGCAGGATGGGATCCTGTGGGTGGATGAGGTTCTGTGGGGAGGATGAATCCTGTAAGCAGGATGGGAATCCTGTGGTCAGGGTGTATCCTGTAGACAGGATGGATCCTACAAGCAGGAGGATTGCCATGGGCAGGATGGGATCCTATGGGTGGGATGTGATCCCAAGGGCAGGAAGGGGTCCTGTGGGTGGGATGTGATCCCGTGAGTGGGATGGGATCCTACGGGTGGGATGTGATCCCAAGGGCAGGATGGATCCTACACACAGGATGGATCCCTTATGGGTTATGAAGGGCCAGAGCTGTGCTAATGCTGTTGGGGTTGGTAGGGGGAAAAAAGTGGATCTGGAGTAGGGGCCATCAGCTTCCAGGGTGAGATTGTGCTGGAAAATAATTGGGTTTGTGCACTGGGGAGACTTTTGGGGTTGGTGGTGCTGTGCTGGTGGGCTGTGCTGGGTCGGGGGACAGCGGGGGCAGTGCTGGGGCAGTGGGGCCGGTGTGGGGCTGCTGTGGGGCTGCTATGGGGCTGAGGCTCCGTGCTGGAGCAGGGAGCAGTGGGGTCGCTTGGGGACAGGGCTGCGGTGGCCGAGGCGCAGCTCCTCCCGGCTGCACTGAGACCCTGCGCTCTGCTTCGCCCTTTCGTCGCTGTGATTGCAGTCAGGAGGGAAGCAAGAAAATCAGGGGAGGAGGAGATGATTTTTGAAGGGTTTGGTGGCCGCGCTTTGCCGCCTCCCAGCTGGGATTTGGGGCGCGGGGGCCGTTCCCAATGCAAACCCAAGCACGGATTTTTCCGAACTGGGAGAATCGGATGCGGGAAGGAGGGGCCGTGGAGATGGATGCACTTTCCTTGTTTTCTTTCGGGGACGGACTCGTCCAGCAGCCAAATGGAAAAAGACAGTCAGAGCACGCATTGCTCACCGGGCCTCGCGCCAGCAGCCGGGCTGCCCAGAACTGGGGCAAACTGGGGGGAGTTCCCTCGCGCCGGGGGGAGCCCCGCCGTGCCGCCCCATGCCCACACCACACGGCAGCCGGGTGCTGGGAGATGCTTGGCATCTGGGAGAGGTGTGGGGTGGCCCCCGTGGCTCCGTTGCACCCTGGGCAGGATTTATGGGGACGGGGAGTGATGTCTGTGCTCCCCTTGGCATCGCAGTGGCGTCGGGGTCCCTGTCCCTGTGGTGGGCATGTGCCATGTCCCTGCCCTGTGGGTGCTGGCTGGATGGGGATGTGGCACAGCGTGGCCCCACAAGTGGTCATGGGGGGTTTGGGGACATCTGGTGTGTCCCAAGCATGGCCCCGCAAGAGGCTGGGTTGGAGACACCAGGCCTGTCCTTGTCATAGCCCCACAGGTGGCTGAAGATGGGTTTAAGGACACTGGGTCTGTCCTCAGAAGTGGCCATGGGAGAGTTTGGGGACATTAAGTTTGTCCCCATTGGGGTCCCACAAGTGGCTGGGGTTGGGTTTGGGACACCAGATCCGTCCTTGGTGGGGCTCTACATGTGGCCAAGAGTGGGTCTGGGGACACCAGGCCTGCCCCATTGGTGCTCTACAGGTGGCTGGGGTTAAGTTTGGGACACCAGGCCTGCCCCAATGGGGCTCTACAGTTGAGTTTGGAGACGCTGCGTCTGACCCCGGTGTGGCCCTATAAGTGGATAAGGTTGGGTTTAGGGACGCTGGGCCTGGCCCCATAAGTGGCCAGGGGTGGGTTTGGGGGCCTGTCCCCATCGTGGCCCTACAAGTGGATGAGGTTGGGTTTGGGGTTGCGTTCCGGGGCCCTGGGGGTGACGTGCTGTCTCTGTGCCCCACAGGATGAGTTCCACCCCTTCATCGAGGCGCTGCTCCCCCACGTGCGGGCCTTCGCCTACACCTGGTTCAACCTGCAGGCCCGCAAGCGCAAGTACTTCAAGAAGCACGAGAAGAGGATGACGAAGGACGAGGAGCGGGCGGTGAAGGACGAGCTGCTGAGCGAGAAGCCCGAGGTGAAGCAGAAATGGGCCTCGCGCCTCCTGGCCAAGCTGCGCAAAGACATCCGGCCCGAGTGCCGCGAGGACTTCGTGCTCTCCATCACCGGCAAGAAGCCATCGTGCTGCGTCCTCTCCAACCCCGACCAGAAGGGCAAAATGCGCCGCATCGACTGCCTGCGGCAGGCTGACAAGGTGTGGAGGCTCGACCTGGTCATGGTCATCCTCTTCAAAGGGATCCCCCTGGAGAGCACCGACGGTGAGCGGCTGGTCAAAGCGGGCCAGTGCACCAACCCCATCCTCTGCATCCAGCCCCACCACATCAGCGTCTCCGTCAAAGAGCTCGACCTCTACTTGGCCTATTTCGTCCGTGAGAGAGGTACGGGGGTTCCTTCCCTCTTTCCTTCCCTTTCAGACCTTGCAGAGAGGATCCCGGTGCTCCAAATCGCTCCCACCCCGAGCGGGTGTCCCCCACCGTCCCCTTTTCTCCATCTGACACCGATCCCAGTCCGAGGGGCGCCGCTGGTTCTGAGGGCAGTGGTTGGGTGGCACGTTGTGTCCCTGTGTGCTTTGACATGGGTCGTCCCAAAGCCTTTGGGATCCAAATGGGGTGACTGAGGCACGGTGCAGCACCCAGGCTTGGTAGCCAAGAGTGGTCCCAGAGCCACTGTCCTTGCATGCCAGGAGAACAGAGCTCGTGCCTCAGGCCAGCTCCTGTGTTATCCAGGCTCGTCGCCAGCTGGAGCCCTGCTGGCACATGTGGCCCCAGTGGCAGCAGGCACATGGGGGGACAAATGGGTGGAGTCCTTTTGGCAGGGACCTCAGGCCCTGAGCGCATCATCTGTGGGGCTGAGGAGGGGTCTCACCCGTACTGCTGGGACACCACGCTCCCCAATGTCACCCGTGCTTCTCAACATCCCCTCTGCATCCCGTTGTCACCCACGTCCCTCTGCATCCCAGGGTGGGAACAGAGCAGCAAGGAAGATCAGGGCTTGCCAGTGAATCTCTGCAGAGCATCCTGCAGGCAGGAGACCCATAGCACCGTGCTGTGCTGCCAGGACCCATCCCCCCCCATAGGGGCATCCCCCCCCCCCATAGGGCCATCCCCACCCCAGGACCCATCCCCACCCCAGGACCCGTCCCCACCCCAGGACGTGTTCCATTACCCCTCTGCAGTCTATGACCGCTCCTCACCCAGCGCTGGCTGCAGCCCAAGGACGGATAATGACACTGAGGGGGGCACCCGGTGGCTGTAATCCCAACAAAGGGGATTGACGGAGCCATAAATCACGGCGGGCGCGGGCGGATGTGCTGGGTGTCACCTCGGTCCCCCGGGAGCCACCGCGGTCTGACCGGCATCACGTGCGCCCCGCAGCCCCCACCACACGGGGGTCACCAAACAGGGATGGCTTTGGGCAGCTCACAGCCAACCAGGGTGCAGACAAAACCCCGATGGGTGACACTGTGTAGGGTGCTGGGGGCTCCCGGCGGCCATGCGATCTCCTTGTCCCCAAGGGAAGCAGCCGCCCCTCTGCCACCCCCAACCCATGACCTTGACCCCAACGTCTGGGTCCCCAGCAGCCGCAGTCACCTGATGTCTAATTGGGAACACGGCGGCTGTAAATACTCCCTGATAAGGCCCTGGCAGCGGCTCACTTTCCCTGTTAAGGTCGCTCTGCGCCGTGGTTAAGGGGGACTGGGGACAGTGGGGCGGACCTTTGGGTGCTGCTGTGCTCTCGGCCCCATCGTGCGCCCTCTGCTCTGTGCTGGAGGGGTCAGCAGGGTGCAGCAGGGAAATGGGGCAAGGAGGGGCGTGGGGGGCACACGCTGGGGGGGGTGGGGGTCCCCATGGACTTCCTGCAATCCTGCACAAGGCTGCATTTTCCTGCACGCTGCTGCACCCTCAGTCCTGCACGTGTCTGAAGTCCTGCACAGCTGTTTGTGCGGGGTTCTGCACGATCCTTTCCTGGGCTTTTGCACGCTCAGTCCTGCGTGCATCTGCGTACATCTGTGTGCATCTCTTGCACAGCCCTGCGCGATCCTTTGCAGTCAATCCTGCACGCTCCCGCATTTTTGCTGCACGCTTCCACTCCTTCCCCGCTTTGCACGCTCCTCCCCACCTTTGCACACCCCAATCTGTGACCCCCCCCCTCCCCCCCCATCCCCTCGCTGTAGGCAGAAGGAGGTTGGGGGCCTTCATCCACCCGCTGCCCGCAGCCCCCCGCTATGGGGCCGGAGCACGTGGGCTCAGCCGCCCGCCCGCGCCTGCTCCTTTTGCTGCTGTCAGCACAATTTCCCAACTGCTGCTCTGGCAACGCGAGGGAGGGGGGCTGCGGAGGAACCCCCACGGTCAGCCCTCCCTGTCTGGGGAGGGGGAGCGAGCCGCCCCTGCAGAACAGTGCCAAGGGGGTGGCGCTGAGCCTGCGGGATGCCCGAAGGAACCCTGCGTGCACATGTGGGGAAACCGAGGCATGGATGGGGGGTTGTGGGGGGGAGGCAGGGGTCTGTGCCCCGCTCCTCGTGGGCTGTCTGCAGCCCCACAATGTGCTGGGTGCTTGCTGCAGGGCTGGGTGCAGGGTGGGCTCAGCGCTGGATATAGGGTGGGTGCAGGGTGGGTGCAGGGCAGTTAGAGGGTTGTTGCAGTGCTGGGTGCACACCGGGTGCAGGGTGATTGCAATGCTGGGTGCGCACTGTGTGCAGGGTGATTCCAGGTTGGGTGCAGGGCGATTGCAATGCTGGGATCACGTTGGATGCAGAGTCATTGCAATGCTGGGTGCACGCTGGGTGCAGGGTGGTTGCAGCATGGGGGAAGGGTGGTCGCAGGGTAGCTGCAGTGCTCAGTGCAGGCTGAATGCTGGATAGGTGCAGAGTGGTTCCGCTGCAGGGTGCAGAGCAGATGCTGTGCCGGGTGCAGGCTGAGCGCAGGGTCATTGCAAGGTTGGGTGCACGTTGGGTGCAGGCAATTGCAGGCTGGGTGCGGGGTTGCTGCTGGCTGGGTGCAGTGCAGCTGCAGTGCTGGGTGCAGGGTGGTTGCATGGTGGCTGTGGGGTTGTTGCAAAGTTGGGTGCACTCTGGGTGCTCGTTGGGTGCAGGGTGATTGCATGCTGGGTGCAGGCTGAGCGCAGGGCTGGGTGCAGGGCTGGGCTCTGCACACCGCAGTGGGGGAGGGGTTGGCGCTGCAGCCCAGGGCTGGGTGTGCAGCGGGGGGGGGGGGGCGGGGGGGCCGGCGGGGGGCCGCGGGGGCCCGCGGGGGGGAAGCTCGGAGGTCGCCGGTGAAAGTCAAAAGCATTGCAGTAAAATGGTAATCAATCTCCCCAGTCGATTGTGCCAGGACCTTCGAAGCATTACAGAGAGATTCCTCCCTACAGCAGCAGCCTGGGCAGGGGGGGAAGGGAGGGGGGGGGGTGAAGCAGGGGGGTCCTTCCAGCCCTGCATCTCCATCACCCTCATCCCTGCATCTCCGTTATTGCTATCCCTGCATCTCCATCCCAGTGCCCCATTGCTGCATCCCCACCCCTACATTTCCAGTGCCTCCATCTTGGCACCCACGTGCCAGTGTCCCTGTCCCGGGCCCCCCCCCCCGCGCCCCCCCCCCCCTGCACCCCCATTGGCACATCCCAGTGCCCCCCTCCATACATCCCCACATCCCCCCACCCTCACTCCCTGACCGCTGGGTGGGGGCACGGGGTCAGCACGACACCCCCCTCCCCTCCCTCCACTCCCGGGATGCTCAGGGTGTGAGGGGGGACCCCGCAGCCACATCCCCACCTCTGCCCCGCTGCAATCTTCCCCCAGCAGTGTCCTTTGGCTGAGCCCAGTGGGGCGAACAGATGGGTACGGGGGGGTGGTGTGCAGGCATCGAGACCCTTGGGGGGCCCCGGGCCCCCCTTGGCCAAAAGCCGGGCCCCCCCCCCCCCCCCCCCCCCGGGCCTGGCAGCCCCTTATCTCCCATCCCCAGCCCGGCGTGAGGCAGATGGCACCAATCTGCTGGGGACGCCGTGCCAGGGCGCCCGGCCGAGCTGCCCGTGCCAGGGGGGGCCATGCCAGATGGATGGGGCATCACCGCCAGCACGCCTGCAAATATTTATTGGGGGGGGGTGGGAGGGGGATTGGAGAGATGGATGGGGCACACAGCATTCAGGCCCCACATCTCACTGGGTGCCCATGGGCAGAGGGGTGGATGAACCCCCACCCCACCCAGCACTGTCCTGGCAGCCACGGATTTGGGGCTTGGGGGGCTTGGAGATGGGCAGAGCCATGAGGGCAATGGGGCAGGACCCCCTCCCCACTGACCCCCAGCTCTGCGCAGTGATATCAGCCATCAGAGAATCCCTGCAGGGTGGGTTCCTGGTGTGTGTTGGACACAGGGGTGGGATGGAGGAGCGTGTGGGGTGTATGGGGGGGTGTGCTGGACCCCAGGAGCTCCGTCCCTTGCGGCGCCACCACCCCGAGGTGTCCCAGCAGGCAGGGGCCACGCTCTGCCCCCCCTCCCCAGTGCTGTTGGCACACGGAGCTCTGCAGATCGATGCCGACCTTGCGAGGTCAGGGCTTCCCCGGCGATGCCCGCATCTCCTCACATCCCCTTGTCCCCATGGATTCCGGAGCTTCCCCAGCTCAGCGTCACTCCTGCCACGAGCTGCTCCGCGCTCAGCACCCGGCACCCAACAGCGCATCCCCGAGGCGCAGGGTGGGCAGGGGGCTTCTCCCCACCGTGAATAAAAGATGAGCGCTGTGTCTCGCCAGCACCTGCCACCCCCCCGCCACCCGCCGTCCCCCCACAGCGCTCAGAGCTCTGCCCTCCCCAGGGCTGCCGTTGCCATCCTGGCTGCTTTCCCGGCTCCGTGCCGCGTTGGCGGGGACAGCTGGGGTGGCAGATGCCAATGGCTGCAGGCACGGGGAGGGGGCGCACGCCGCTGAGCCCCCTGTGCCCGGCTGGCACCGACAGCTGGGGCCGCGTCCCCGACAGCCCCATAGGGATGTTCCCATAGTGCTTGTGGGGAGTAATGCCTGGGGGGGGGGTGGTGAATGGTGGGGTGTTGTGGGGGCACTGGGGTGGCGAGGGGCTGCGCCGTGCTATGGGGCTGTGCTGTGGGGTTGTGCCATGCTGTGGGGTTATGCCATGCTGTGGGGTTGTGCTGTGGGGTTATGCCATGCTGTGGGGTTATGCCATGCTGTGGGGTTGTGCCATGCTGTGGGGTTGTGCCATGCTGTGGGGTTGTGCCATGCTGTGGGGTTATGCCATGCTGTGGGGTTGTGCTGTAGGGTTGTGCTGTGCAGTGGGGCCCTGCCTTAGGGTTCAGGCATAACTCCATGCTTGGGGCCGTGCTATAGGGTTGTGCCATGCTGTGGGGCTGTGATGTATTGTTCTGCCATGCAATGGGGCCATGCTGTAGGGTTGTGCCATGCTATGGGTCTGTGCTATAGTGTTGTGCTGTGCTGTAGGGCTGTGTTTTGGGGTTGTGCCGTGCCATAGGGCTGTGTGCAGTCACTGCCATCCTCCTTCCTTCCCCCCTTTGATTTCATTCTTTCTTCTCCTTCTTTTTGCTTTTGTTTCTTCTTTCCCTGCTTCTCTTTCCTTCATTCCTTTACATTTTTTCTCCTTTATTCCTTTTTTTTTCTTTCTCTGTTTTTCTCTTTTCCTTTTCACTTTCCTTTTTCTTTCTTTCTTTCTTTATCTTTTCCTCTTTTTCTTTTTTTTTCCTTTCCTTTTCCTTTTCCATTCCTTTTTCTTCCTTTCCCTTTTTCCTTTACTTTTCTTTCTTTTTTTTCTTTCCCTTTTTCTTTCTTTTTCTTTTTCTTTTTCTTTTTCTTTTTCTTTTTCTTTCTCTTTTTTCTTTTTCTTTTTCTTTTTCTTTTTCTTTTTCTTTTTCTTTTTCTTTTTCTTTTTCTTTTTCTTTTTCTTTTTCTTTTCTTTTTCTTTTTCTTTTTCTTTTTTTCTTTTTCTTTTTCTTTTTCTTTTTCTTTCTCTTTCTCTTCTTCTTTCTCTTTTTTTCTTTTCCTTTCTCTTTTCCTTTTCCTTCTTCTTCTCTTTTTCTTTTTCTTCCATTTTCATGCTTTTCTTTTCCTTTCTCTTTTCCTTTCCCTTCTTCTCTTTTCCTTTTATTTTCATCTTTCCATTTCCCTGTTTTCTGTTACTTTCCTCTTTTCCCCTCTCTCTCCTTACCTTCCCCCTCTTATTCCCCTTTCTCCTTTCTCCTTCCCTCTTTCTTCCTTCCCCCATTTTCTCTCCCCTTCTTCCCCTTCCTCCCATCCCACATCCCAGCCCCTCCATGCCCCCAGATCTCCCCATCCCTTCCACCCCCTAGAGAAGCCCTCAGGGCCCCATTGCTTCCTCAGGAGGGGGGTCCCCCCGTCCCAACCAACGAGCGGGGGGCCACCATCACCAACCGCCCCCCTCCCGTCCCTTTGTCCCCCGCCATCTGTCCCGGCTCTGGCACCAGCCCAGCTCTGTGTTGGAGGGGGGCTCCGTTCCCCCCGCGCCACCGCCGCCGTCTCCGCTCTCTCGGGGTCGGCCGAGGACAGCAAGCAGCAGCTCAGAGCTCACAGCCCGCCTGGGCCAGCTGGCTGCAACCAGCAAACGTGGCAGCCCAGCCACCTCCAAGCAGCGAGCAAACCCCTGTTCGGGTTTACAGGGGGGGCTGAGGGCTGGCAAACTCATCGCAGTGTGAATGGGGGGCGTTGGGGCTGGGGGGGGGAGGGGGGGAGGGTCAGGGGTAGCCAGGCTGAGCCGGGCTTTGGGGTGCTGGGATGTTGCATAGGGGAGGTTGTACAAGCAGGACAGGGCTGGGATCTGGGTGTGGGGAGCTGTGTGTATGGAGGTGGGGGGGGGGTCTGTGTATGGGGGTCTGTGTGTGGGGAGCTGTGTGTGGGGAGCTGTATATGGAGCTGTGTGTATGGGGGTCTGTGTATGGGGGTCTCTGTATGGGGCAGTGGGGAGAGCTGTGCTAATGGGTTGGGGAGGGGTAAAGGGGGGGGGTCCCAAATCACACCCCACAGCCCCCAGCTCAGCTTCCCATGGCTGGTCACTCTGGTGGTCCTATGATGGAGGGGTGAGGGGGCGCGGGGGCTGCAGGGCCATAGAGGGAAGGATTGGGGGGGGGGGATTGTTAACCCTGGGGAAACTGAGGCACACAGACCCCCACGGCCCCCCCCCACACACCAAGCATCTCCCCCCTCACTGCTGCTAGTAACGCCGTGCCCTGTTACCGTCAGCACTTGGGCACACAGCCAGGGCTCTCCCTCAGCCCCGGGGGGAGCCAATCCAGCAAGGACCCCCCCCCCCCCCCCCCCCCGGCCCCCCCCCGGGGGGGGGGGGGGGCCCCCGCGGGGGTGGGGGGGGGGGGGGGGCCGTTCCCAAGCGGCGGTGCCATGGGGTGGGGGCACCCTGCCAACCCGGGGAGGCCATAATTCAATGGGTGGCACAGCGCCAGGCTGCCAGGCAGCCCCTATCAGCCCCCCCTGCCCTCTCCCTTCCTCACCCCCCCCCCTTCCACGGGCACACTTTGCTATTTTTAAGAGACATCGACCTGTTTGGGCACCCAGGCTCAGCACAGCGCTGCGGGGGGGAACGCTGACACTTAACCCCATGCCCTACATGTTACCCCCCCCCCCCCGATTCCTGCTTGCAGCCCCCCCCCCATGCAAAAGGAAAAAACTTGGGGGGGTTCCCAACAGCAGTAATGCTTCCGGGGTGCAGCTCTTTGGGGTGCCCACACCTCCCCGTTGCACCTGAGCTCAATGATGGCTGCGGGGACCCCCCTGAGTTCGTTTAGGTGGTGTGGGGGGGTCGGGGGGGGGGGGAAGGCACGCCATTTTAGTGAGCGTTGGTCGGCCGCAGGCAGCCGTCACATGGCGGTGAGCACAGAGCTTGGCCGGCCGCTGCGGCGCGGCGAGGCAGCCAGAAATGTGCTGGCACACACAGCCCCAGGCTGCCGGGGGGGCCCCAGCCCCATAACGGGGCTCCTGATGGGGGTGGGAGAACCTGAGCAATGGGAGGAGATGTGAGGGCGCGGGGGTTTGCCTTTGGGGGGCAGGGAGGGGGTCGTTGGGTTGGGGTGCCCCAATGGGGGATAAGGGACGGGTGAGCGAAGGACTTGTGGGGGTTCAGAGGGGTGAGGGGGGGTGATTTAGCGTGCCTGTGGGGTTGGGTGGTGCTTCTGGGGGGGGAAGAGCCATGTGGGGCGTCTTGGGGTGACCTCAGGAAGGTCTTTTGTGAGAGAAGAACATTTGGGGTGACTTGGGGTGACCAGTGAGGGTTTTTAGGGGGGCATCGTGGGGTGACCAAAGGTCTGCGGTGTTACAGAGCCATTTGGGGCATCTTGGGGTAAAGGGGCTTCAGGGGTTTCTGGGGTGATGGAAGAGCTGTGTTGGCCATTTTGAATCGACCAAGGAAGTGTTTTTGGGGGGAGAAGAGCAATTTGGGACATCCTGGGAGTGACCAAAGGGCTGTGGATGATATTCTGGGGGATGGAAGAGCCATTTGGGGCATCTTGGGATGACCCAAAGGGCCATGGGTGGTATTCTAGGGGGTGGAGGAGCCATTTGGGGCATCTTGAGGTGACCAAAGAGCTAGAGGAGATATTTGGAGCGATGGAAGGGCTGTGTTGGTCATTTTGGTTTGAGCAGCGAAGTATTTTTGGGGGCGGAAGAATCATTTGGGGCACCTTGGAGTGACCGTGGGGCTATGGGAGGTGCTTTGGAGGTTGGAGGAGCCATTTGGGGCATCTTGAGTTGACCAAAGAGCCATGGGAGGTATCTGGAGCGTGGAAGAGCCATTTGAATCATAGAATGGCTTGGGCTGAAAAGGACCGTAGTGATCATCTAGTTTCATTTTGGGATGACCAAAGGGCTATGGGTGGTATTTTAGGGGGTGGAAGAGCCATGTGGGGCATCTTGAGGTGACCAAAGAGCTGGAGGAGATATGTGGGGCAATGAAGGTGCTGTATTGTCCATCTTGGGGTGACCAGTGAAGTATTTTGGGAGGGAGAAGAGCCATTTGAGATGGCCACTGGAGAGATCTGGGGTATGGCAGCGCTACTGGGGACGTCTTGGGAAGGTCATCCTTATGTCATGGTGCAACCAAGAGGCTACGAGGAGCATCCTGGTGTCACGGTGGGATGAAAGGACCACGAGAGACATCTTGGGGTGACCACAGGGCCGTGGGGTCATCGTTGTGGGGGGAGCAAAGGTCCGTTTGTGGTGTGACGGTGCAACGAGGGGCAGCTTCCAGTGAGCGCAGGTGATGCGAGCAAAGGGTGACGGAGGTGGGAAGAACCACATCGGGACCTTGGGGTGACCCCAGAGCCCACGGGACGTGGGGTGAGGCGCTGGGGGGAGTGGTGCTGCAGCACTGAGCCCAAAGCTGCTCACCACCATCCCACACTTGGCCGTGCTCCATCTCTAACCACATCCAGAGCCGCGCCGGGCCGGTGCTGCGCCGCAGAGGGGGGCTGCATCCAGCATCGGGTGTCGGGATGGGGGTCCCACGTTCCAGATCCTTCAGTGATGATGGGGCACGCTTTGGTTTTCCAAATTGGGGGGGGGAAAGGGGGGGGAGGGTTGGGGAAATGGGGAAAAAGCCAACAGTGCCGCGTTGAACGCAAGGGGGAATTTCTGCTCCCTAAAATGGCCGCTCTGGAGGAAGCGGAGTGGGGTGTTGGGTGGGATGGGGCACAAAATGGCTGTTGGGGGAGAAAGGGGGGGGAGGGGGGGGAGAAAAGAAAGGAAAGAATGAAACGTTGAAGGGAAAAAAAAATAATAATAATAAAAGAAATGGAGAAAAGAAAGCGGCGGGCGGGCGGCGGTGTTGTGGCTGCGCTGTTTGGATTGTCTCAGCCTTTTCCTGGCATCAGGCAGCACTGCTGACGGCCAAAGGGGTGGGAGAAGGAGGAGGGAAGGGGGGGGGAAATGAAAAAAAGAATAAAAATAATAAAGATGGGCGAATGCTTGGAGGGCTCCGCAGGGCCCGGGATGCGCCGTGCGCCGGGGTCGGGAGGAAGGATGCTCCCATGGCTGCTGAGCTCAGCGTCTGTGCGTGTATTTTTAGCCCTGGGCCAAGCGGGGCTGTCAGCGGGGTGGTGGCCGTGTCACAGCCCCACAGGGATGGGGAGCATCTGCACAAGGCCGTCCCCAGCCCTGCCGCCGTGTGACGGAGCCCCGGGGGTCCCCGTGAACAGGGATGTGCCGCTGTGGTTGTGGGTCACAGCCTTTGGGGACGGCCGTGCCTCAGTTTCCCCACGTCTCAACCCCTTTTTCCCTCTCCCAGATTCCGAGCAGAGCAGCAGTCCCCGGACGGGCATCGCCTCGGATCAGGAGGACACCAAGCCCAACACGCTGGGTAAGAGGGGACGCAGTGGGGACCCACGTGGGGTGCCAGCACCCTGATCTGTGGGGCGTTTGGGGACACGGTGGGGACACGTCACCCTGCTCTACGGGACGTGCATCCCGTAGCGGCTTAGCAGCTGACCGGGGGTCTTGGACATGTGTGGAAGGGGTGGGGGATGGGGCTTTGCCTCTTTATGGGTGCACAGGAGGAGATGTGGGTGCACAGGGCATCATGGGACCCCCCACTCACGCTCTCCCCTCCCAAACGCAGACTCTACAGACTTCCAGGAAAGCTTCGTCACCTCGGGGGTGTTCAGTGTCACCGAGCTCATCCAGGTGTCCCGAAGTGAGTGCCATCCCAGAGCCCCTTCCCCGGCACCCACCCTGCCGGTGCCGCCCTGGGGTGTCACTGTGCCCTTACCGATGTCATCCTCTCCCCACAGCGCCGGTGGTGACGGGCACAGGCCCAAATTTCTCCCTGGGGGAGCTGCAGGGCCACCTGGCCTACGACCTGAACCCCTCCAGCACGGGCATGAGGAGGACGTTGCCCAGCACCTCCTCCAGCGGGTGGGTGCCGCCGGGCGGCGCGGGGGCGATGCCGGGACCGGTCCAGGCACGGCTGTGTGGGACGGCATGGGCACGTCGGGTCCTGCAGTGTGCTGCCAGGCTGCCTGCACTGTGGGGTGGGTGGGGGGAAGCTGGGGGAGTGGGCTGCTGCACTGCCGCTTTGGTACCGTGCAGCCATTTGGGTACCCCGGCACGGTTTGGTACCCCGATATGGTCTTGGCAACGTGGTTCTGAAACCTGACGCAGCTTTGACATCCCAGAATAGTTTCAACACTCTGGTGTGTGGGTTTGGCAGCCCAGTATTGGGTTTTGCATCCCGCCACCATTTCTTGCACCCCATCATGGTGTCAGCACCCCAGTGTGGTTTCTTCACCCCGGTGCTGTGTCAGCATCCGGCCGTGGGTTTGCATCCCAACGCAGTTTTGCACCCCAGCGTGGTTTTGCCCCCCTCTCCCCACTGTTGGGTTTCGCACCCCAGGATGGGTTTTGCTCTGCAGTGTGTGTTCACACCCTACCAGATTTTAGCACCCCAGCTGTGGGGCTCGAGGCGCATCCCCATGGGCACAGCACGTCCCAGTGTCACCCCGGGGTTGGGGACCGTGGCACGCGGGCAGGATGGGCTCCATGTGGCCGCCTCCCTTGGGGTCACCCCGCTGATATCACAGCAGCCCCATAGCGTGGCAGGGGATGCTGACCTCTGGCTGTTCTCAGGAGCAAACGGCACAAGTCTGGCTCCATGGAGGATGACATCGACACGAGCCCCGGCGGCGAGTATTACACCTCGTCCAACTCACCCACGAGTAGCAGCCGCAACTGGACAGAGGACATGGAAGGGGGTGAGTGTGGGGCTGCCCCCTGTGGGGCTGCCGTGTGGCACGGCGGGTCGGGGCTTCCCTGCCCAGGCTGTGGTGTTCCTGCAGGGCAGCAGAGGAGCTCTGTGTTGGTGCAGTGCTATGGGGCCCTTGGGGCAGAGGTGCTGCCAGCCCCTCACTGGGACACAGACCCTCAATAGGTGTCGTGGGGCTGCTGTAGGACCCCCCCAGTTAGACACAGACCCCCTATAGGTGCCATGGGGTTGCTGTAGGACCCCCCACTTCCTATAGGATCCATCCCATTTAGACACAGACCCCAATAGGTGCTATGGGGTTGCCTTGGGACCCCCCCATTCAGGCACACGCTCCCTATAGGGCCAGCCCCACAGCAGCCTCTCCCAGCCCCACAGCTGCTGTTTGCACTGCGGACAGATTTCTTTCTTGCTTTGCTTTTTTTTTTTTTTTTTTTTTTTTTTTTTTTTCCCTTTCCTGTCTAGACCGCCCCAATTAGCTGTTCATTAAGAAAAGGGGGGGCTGGGGTGGGTTGGGCTAATTAAAGCGATGCTGCGGGGCTGGCACGGCGGCTCCCACGCCCTGGGGCACCTTATGGGCAGCTGAGCCCCCCCTGCTTTCATCTCCCCCCCATCCCATCCCACACCCCAATGGTAGGATGGGATCCACACCCCACAGACCCCATCCCACAGCTGTGGGGTGCCTGGGGAGCAGAGCAGGGGGCACAGAGCCCATCGGAGAGATGAATGGGATTTTGTGTGCCGTGGGAGAAAAACCCTTCCCAATGGGTTTTTCATCCCAGAGTGGTATTGTCCTCTTGGTAATGTTCTCAAGTTCTTGGGGTCTGTTCCCCAGTGCCTGCTGTAGGTCACTGTGCTGCCCCACCACAAGCTTGGCTGCCCTAAATGTGGGGTCAACCCCACAGCAGCCCCCAGACCCCATATGGGTGCCCATAGCAGGGCACTGTGTGCTCTGTGTTTGGAGAACTGTGCCCCATATGGACTGTGCCCTATGAGGAGCAGCAACTGTGCCCAACATGTGCCAGGGTCTGTGCTCCCTATGGACCAGGCTCTGTGCCCCATATGAGCTGGAGATTGTGCCCTATACAGACCAGGGCCTGTGACCCAAAGAGTGATGGACTGTGCCCCATACAGAAGATGGTCTGTGCCCTATATGGCCCTTTAACTGTTCCCCTTGTATGCCAGGCACTCAGCCCCGTGTGTACCAGGGATTGTGCCAAATATTGGTCAGGGATTGTGCCCCAAATAGGCTGCGGTCTGTGCCCCATATGGGCTGAGGACTGTGCCCTATATGGACCAGGGACTGTGCCCCATATGGGCTGGAAATGCTGCCCTAAATAAACCAGGAACTGTGCCCCATATGAGCCAGGGTCTGTGCCCCACATGGGCTGAGGACTGTGCCCTATGTGGACCGGGAACACTGCTCCATATGGGCTGGGAATGGTGCCCTATATGAGCTGTGCCCCATATGAGCCAGGGGCTGCGCACTATACAAACCAGACTCTGCGCCCCCAGCCTGAGGCCGTGTCATGAGGCCACGGAGGGGGCAGGAGGAGGTTGGCAGTGGGCTGATCCTGCTGGGGAAGGGGGGGCAGCGGGACGTGCTTGGCGTGGTGGGCTTTACAGCAATCCTGTACTGGATGTTCCGGGAAATCCTCCTAACGCAGCGACTCAGACAGCACTAAACCCATTAGCAGCACCAGGGCCAAATGGCCACGGCTAAAGCTGGGGGGGATTAACCACCCACCCACCCCCACGGTTCAGGAAGCCAGCAGTGAGCCCCCACGTCCTGCCCCACATTGGGGCTCTGCGAGTGCCCACAGCGCCATGGGGAGGGCGTGAAGCACACGCGGTGCACGTGCACGGACACATTGGTGCACAGTGACGTGCACAGCAGCGTGCTGGTGCACAGACGTGGTGAGCTCAGGCTCTCCATCACACAGCCGTGCACACTCACTCGTGCTGCTGCACAGCCACGCGCAGCCGCCCAGATGCACAAACGCAGCATCGCACGCCTGCCCCGATCTTTGCACACGCACAAAGGTGCACAAGTGCAAAACACGGCTGCAAGCAGCTGCTGCAAACAAACGCGCGGCCCGAGGCTGCACACACAGCCCCCCCATTGCACCCTGACGCCGTAGGGCGC